GGTTGGTTGGTTGGTTGGTTGGTTGGTTGGTTGGTTGGTTGGTTGGTGTGTTGGTTGGTGTGTTGGTTGGTGTGTTGGTTGGTGTGTTGGTTGGTGGGTGGGTGGGTCGGTCGGTCGGTCGGTCGGTCGGTCGGTTGGTGGGTCGGTCGGTCGGTCGGTGGGTGGGTTGGTTGGTTGGTTGGTGTGGTTGGTGTGGTTGTTTTTCTTGTTCTTGTTCTTATCGACAAAATAAGGCGGTCTATAAAGAGTGGATTCCAAGGTACTCGACAGTGGGTCTCCCCCCGCACTCCAACAGCGAGCGTTGGTGTTTTTTTCGACATTCAGATCTTTCTCACAGGTCGATGGCAAAGATGTTCCAAGTTACATGCCGGAGGCTCAGACCAGGCTGCAAGTCTACGGCACTTGCGCGGTTGCTCTAGGAAGCTGGGGATGACTATGTATTGTTAAACTATAGAGATATCATGCAGAATAGATAGCTGACTGAAAAATAACCGGCATTTAAAACATAGAGACTGGATCTTTGTTGCAAAGCAGGTTTGTGTCTCTCTCTACATTGTCATATGCACAACACGGTGCGTTGATGTGCTTTGTGTGATGTGTTCAGTCAGACTCTGGCTATGGGACCTCTAGGGAACTTTTTGGGAACCAAGTAGCTGGTTGTCGTGGCCGTGTCCGAGGCGCGAGATTGTGGCGCGAGGCTTAGGCTATTTGGCCGCCGTGGTTGAAGGCCGGAGCCAGTGGACGACCAGAGCTGCAGGGCGCAGGGTTGATGAAACGTGGCCATCGCATGGCCCCTTGGAACCGCCATGTTCCTCTACAAATAGGGTAATTTGACTTCCATGTTAGCTCCGGGGAGTGCATGTGTAGTATTTTTGAGCTTTACTTGGGATGTTTGAGCGAGCGAGCGGTGGATGGAGCTCATCCTGAGTGTGAGAATGGGACATTTTTGTCCATGACTTGCACGACTTAGCCGTACAGGTATAGAGCTTGCGTGAGGTTGAGATTTATTTTACCTCACAGGCCAATAACTCGCGGCAGCGAGAATGCCTCAGAACGAACTCGGAGAGACATGGGGATCAGCATGCCTGAAGGGACCTTGTTGAACCACCCTTCTGTCTGTGCCGATCCACCGGCTCTTGCAAGCCTTGAGATGATGCGCCCGAGGATTGCACTAATTTAGTTGTTTGGTTTCGTTCCTGCTAGTTTGCATGCACACTTCATGAGTCATGAGTCAGAGAGCCCACTATGGCCGGAAATGAACAAAAATGGGATGTTTGAAGCCACTGACTTATAATGTTCAAGTGAGTTAAACAAATTACCAACGCAGAGCCACGTGGAATTGCAATTGCCCCACCAAGACCAAGACTGCTTCCAAAAATCTCCACCGCCCTCACCTCGCATCCCCAAAAAGAAAGACGTGAATACATAAGCCTTTGCCTTTGTCGTCCTTTGTCATCCTTTGTCGCTCAACGGTCCGTCGCCCGTCTCCCTTTTGTCAGGTTTGGAGCAGAAAGAGGTGGTTCTGCTGCGGCATTTCGTCATGGATCAGATGTACGCCTTGTTGGCCTGGACCGCCTCAGACCGACGCGAGACAGACGAAGACACCGTATACGGTATCAGGCGAAGAGGCGAGGCTGTCGTGAGTGGCAACCAGTTCGGACAGTTGTGTCAGCATATATACTTTGGGTTTGTCCGTTCTTACCGTTCTTACCTGCAACAGTCAGTAAACAATTATCACTATTTTTGAACAGGGCCTTTACTAACCATCATCATCCACTGTTACAGGTAATAGGATAGACCCAATGTATACTGCATATATAATATAATATATATATATGATGTACCGGAATAGGCCTCATTCTCCAATTGGACAAGCAAAGCGCACCGAGCAACAAACATCCTGATCTGGAGCGACTAAGTATGGTTGAAGAAAGAGACAGACAAACAAACAAACCAACAAAAAAGTACCGACCCCTAAGAGTCAACGATCGCAGCCACCACATTCAAAACACCGTAGAACACCCAAGCGATGTGAGAGCTTTTGCCGGCCTGAACATCTGTGTGGTCACGGGTGCTTATGGACACCACCAAGAACATGGATCCTGCTGTCAGATGAATACGTTGACACTGTTCACACATCTTCCGCCGAAAATCCGGATGAGCAAACCAAAGCGGGAGCTGGATTTTGCTGTCAAACTCAGCTGATGTTTTGTAAGCTCATGTCAAAGAAGATTGGCGGATCCAGCGCGAATTTGAATTTACTGAGCCCACGAGTAGATATCCTCTAGACTGCACTGGATTCAGAATGGTCTACCACGGACCTCGGTTCAGGGTGTCCATTAACCACCCCAACGGGCCTGACATATGTGTTTCATCATGGTTGTATTGTTCACTTCCGCACCTCTGTGCGTTTCCCAACTCTTTCCGTCACTCGTCACCCCCAGGCCTACGAGCCGCCCCTGGATGCTGACGCCTTCGGCGGCGAGCGTGGTTATGCCACTGGGACCTAGAGACAACGTGGAGGTTTAAGGATTAATTTGATGCAGGAGGGTTCGTACTAATTTTGTTGTATTATAAAGAGTCTTGTTTGGGGATTGTTTGGATGTTATTTGATGTCTGTTGATGTTATTTGTGTACTTGTGTACCTGTTTTGTTCTATGCTCCTGGGACTGCCAATTGCCAATTTTTGGTGTGTGGGGATTGAATTCATCGAAGTGAAGAAGTCCTGCTCCAGGGGGCACAGAGTCATAGACGTGGAGATCCCCTGAGGCTGGTGCAGGATTGTTGCAATGGTTTTCCTTCCAATCCAGGCCGAAAACGAACCATACTATATACACACTTGACGATTGAAGTTGACGATTCTGAGTGTTCTGTCTCCGATTCGATTAGGAGGGCTCATAAGATGGGCTCATGATCCACTTCTTTTTTGGGGGGGTTGAATTGCTCAACGACCTGAAAGCCTCGCTGCTTCGCTGCTTCGGTGACTCTTGGCGGAGAGGACCACCAAGAGCAATGCAGCTCCGTGTGGACCATCGACAGGTGGAGGATCCAGGCTTGGGGCAAAGGTTCAAGGATTTGTCCACTTACACCCTACCAGAGGTCCCACCAACGAGCTGGAAGAGCACATGATTGACAACCTTACCAAGAGTAGAGCGGCTGGGACGCAGATGTCAGCGGCAGCATGGCGCTCTGAGTGGGGACTGATGTGCGACCGGGCAATCCTCGAGGTAGATGAAGGACCAGACTGCGCCCCTGTGGCCAAACCAGAGGGCCGGCAGCAGCTAGTGAGTAGTCCTGGCCACTGATGGGCAGGCTGCAGGTCGGTATGCTAGGTCAAAGGAAGATGTGACCCATCTGTGCATTTGTGTTGTTGGGTTCATTGCCCCTTTGGAGAAATTGGTGATCTTGCCAGGGTTCACTGGACAGTCTGTTGTATCCTTCCTTTGATCGAGCGGAGTGTCATGCAAAAACTACCTCACCAAATCCGGGGCCCGTCCTTTTAGTACGTAAAGCAATGTGCTCTAGAAGTGGAGGAACCTGTCCAACACCCATCCTGCATGGGAGAAGGTAAATGCCACATGTTTCCAAAAAACATCCAAGATGTGTTGCGGTTGCACGAGCTCTCACGAGATGCAATGCTGACTTCGCTGTTCCGAGGTCATTACCTACTACGATGCTCCTTTGCAGGCGTGGAACTCGGGGGTGGTGGTCCTTTTGAGACTCGTCGGGGCTGTTGCGATCTACCACCTGGTAACCACACCGCCCACACTCACATTCAGGGTCACCAGGTAAGAGCATTATCCCAACGGGCTCCAACCATATCCTCAGTTTCGGTGGTTCGACCCCCCTGCCAGCCCACCATAACCATCTTCGAAACGGAGGTAGTTGGAGCCTGTCATGTGTTGTTGAGCATCCTGGAACTCATGAAGCTGAACGTATTGGAAGCTACACCGCTATGAATGACTGGTGTAGCAATTATATACTGTATTCATCGACAACAACCGGGGACCATCGCAGCTCTTGCAGGTCCTGAGTTTGAGTCATCCTTAAGTTGACTATGTCTCAATTGTTGGATCTTCAGTGGGTGACTTAACCATACTTAACCCCTCCATTCAACATCGTTCAACCATAGAAAATCTTTTGGTTGACCTGGTTTTGAAGTCAACAAATCCTTACTGAAATAAGGGTTCTTCAGCAAAAAACAATACTGTAAATCCATAGTGATTGGAATCCTATGGGTGAGGTGAAGCGACATCACTTTCTGTCCAACGATCGGCTCAGCGGCCCGGCGAACCGGGGTGTGTCATAGTTATCCTCCGAGGCGATCCGAGGTGATCCGAGGTGATCCATTTCTGCGGATATATCCGAGGTGCCTTGGTATATATATATTATATATACAGTATATATAGGTCTTTTCACCACGACATGTGCTTTTGGAGGGATCTTGGGAACTATGTATGTGCCTTGGTATATGTATTTTCACCTTGGTATATGTTGTTGGATCAAGTTGGGAACCATGTTTGTATCTTATACGTCACACACGACCTCTCACGCCTTCCGAGGCGGGCATCACACCCTCCTGGTCCGACCAGAATGGCCCTGGTGCCAAGACCACCGCCAATGCCGCGGATCGGTCTGAGTCACTTGGTTAGGGGAGAAGATGTTGCTTGGTTGTATTGAACAAGGCCTGTAAAGTCAAAACAAACAACTGTTCATGTTTTGTGGATGCTGTTTTTCCTTCTGACAACTCATGCGTTGTTTCTAAAAGCAGAAGTAATCATTGTGAACGTCGGCACGGGTTCTACGTTGATTGTCGACGCATGTTGACACTCGTCGGCGACGTGATTCTCACAGTATGATGTCTAGGCAGTGCAAATAACCATTGCATTGCCAATATGTCA